GATCATGTGTTGCGAATGCTTCCAGAATGGAAGGCTAAGGGACTATTTCTTGCGAATCCGTGCGGCAGACTCCCAGGGGACAGCCAAGATTAACCTGGTGCAAATAAATGGAAGGAATCTGTTCCAGACTCCAGTTGGCTTCTGCCTAAGCTGAGGCTCTGGTACAGGATCGGGAACGTTGGAAGCTTTGTGTGACGCATCTGCTTCCGCGACCCGAAAGGAGAAGGGGTGATGGAAAATGAAGATTAAGATGAAGATATTTTTTGCATATGCTGCATTAAATTAATTGATACGAATTTGTCAAGCATCAAAATTTACGGCTCATTGTACTCTCCCGTCACCCGTTTCTGCGTCAGCGACCATTTATGCATACCGCGGTTTTACGGTATTACACTGCTCGTGTACCTTTGCATGTGATTGTGGATGCTGTGTATTTATCGATTAATGTGTATCCTAACAGTTGATAGTGCGAAAACAAGCCGCAGTCACGATGCCCTTGCGATAATAATTGATTTGAAGATTTGGGTCTCGTACCTGACGTGATAATGTATTAAGCTAAATTTGTGCTGGTGTTTCCCTTCTCTTCAAGCTCTATTGACTTTCATTATAAGGAGTCAGGAAACGAATGATAAGTCTTTGGTCGAACGTTGGGACGAAGCGAATTTCCGAAATGGTCATGCAATCGTTCAGTTCGTTTACGGTCATATTGTTCTATTCGCGTTTGACTATAGTGCGCCTTGACCTCCTGGAGGGTGACTGGCAGGGGTATTTGGCGAAAGCGGTGAGAACTTAGATATGTTCCATCTCATCCTCGTTTGCCTTATGTTTCAGCTCGAACTACGCGCGGCGATTGTCGATGAACCAAGTTTGTAGTCGCAAATGCGATTTACCAACGATGACCAAAATTGACTGACATTTTGCTGTTTGAGGTCGTCCGCCTGCCCGTGTAAATTACAGTCTGACGTCTTGCAGCCGAACGGATACCGAATGAATTTTAGTAAGCAACTCTGTTTCATTGCATTACTCGAAGCCGAATGCTGCTTTTCAAACACCATCTGAATATCCTAAGAAGATTTAATGCCGGTGACCTCGCTTTATTGCCCTTAATTAAAATTTTCATATCAGATGTCATTCTATCTGATATCCAGCTGATAGTTCAACTCCTCTTTCGATCATAATATGCGACAGAAATATGAAGTAACGTTTTTTACGACACTGCCTCTGGCCGGATCGTTTAAGCAGTAAATAAGTATAGATGCTTTAGTAAAACTAATGCCAAGCAATCTTAGGTTCAGGAATGGCTGTGAACCTCGCTTTATCCTCTATCCATCAACAGCTTTACTGATGTAAGACCTCAGTTCTTGCGTACTTGATACGAGGAGGAATTGCTATTATATTTGACATCTTTATGCTAAAAATAAGCCCTGGTATTACCGATCTGCTAGTTTACAATATCGCCACCGTTAATAATTTCTCCTTTGACTGT